TATATATATATATATATATATACATATATATATATATGCTGTTCTGTACATGTTAGTTTACTGTTTTACATTGCTTTTAGTCTTCAGCTTAGGGCAGTAAGATATTTTTTGTTTCCTGTAATTGTCTCAGTCTTCTACTTAGAATTTACCCCAGCTGCTCTTTTTTCTGTTGCTTGTTCTCAACAGGTTTCCCATGCCACTCAGCACATCTCCACTTTATGGGGCTCAAAAGGGCATGCCTTCTTGCAGTGCATTGTGGGTTGTGGTCACCATATTTCATGTGAAAAGTTTTTGTTTTCACTGTTGATTTACTCTGCCACTCTATAACAGATGGAAAAGAATCGGCTTGAATAATTGAGAACACAAAAGAGAAAGGTGACAGACTGTACTGAGACAATCTGCACTTTGTTCCGAAGTTCGCCGTTAGCATGAACATGAAGATAAGCTACAGTTGAGCTTTCTTTCTTTCCACTCTATGGGGTTAATGTTTTTGTTGGTGAAAATTCATAGATGTTTAGTCTTTAATGGCTCATGGTCCCAAATCTCAAAATGTTTCTGACTGGAAGAGCAAACCATTTTCATTTTAGCAGTATATAAACATCACACCTTCCCCTTAGTGCTACTATTTGCTCCTGTGTCTGGGCTAAAAACTGGTTTTAGAAAACAAAAAGGGGCTCAGGAATAGGATACAAAACCAAAGTTAAATCTTTCTTATTTTCAACATTGTCATATAACATTTTTTCACCAAAATTAGATATATAGCCTCATTGCTCTTCATCTTTTACACAACCACTGGAAACAGAAATGTAGTTCAATTCAACTGGCGGCGACCAAGATATCAGGATTTTACACTGATCTCTATTTATTCATTGGATTGCTGGTTGCCCGTTAGTATTACGGGGTTAAAGTGAAGCAAGCAGCCACCATATTAGTACTCCCTAGTAAGACCGGTCGCAATGTAAACAAAAATCCGCTACAGCATCGAACAACAAGGATGTTCTCATTTTCAGGGGGGCTTAAGACTTTTAAAATAAAAAAATTGTACATACAAACAGCACTTACTTGCTGTTTCATAGCATAATTAGATTGCTTTAACTTATAATAAAAAAAGCACATCACATTGCATAGTCATTACGAAGTCAATGAAGTTTATATATCATGTAATATAGTACGTTTTTCAAATCCATCACAAAAAAAATAATGTTTTAATGGTACATAGTGCTAAATTAATTATGTTTATTACATTGTTATGGTAATTCCATCTTACATATAATTTCAACATTTTACATAAAGACTGAATTACAAGTACACAAACACATATATGTATATGTCAATGTATGTATGTCAATGTTTGAGTTTTTTTCCTGTCAAAATAACATGCAATGTACTGTATTTCAGCACATAACTTTTTCAAATGAGAAATACAACAAACACTACAGGAACAATGGCATCATTCACTTAATAAAGAATTACTACATTTATATTTCACAGTAAATTACTTTCTATGTACTCTACTTTCTATTTTCTAACGTTAGACACAATGTCAATGGCTAAAAATCTTAACGTCAAATAGCCAGACAGACTTCCCATAGCCAGGAAATTTTTTTGCAGCCAAATGCTATATATGTAGGCATTTTTACTGTGTACACATGCCTAAATGTGTCCAACATGGTGGACACTGGCTTCCCTCTTTTTGGGCAATCAGCAATCCAGTGAATAAATATAGAGATCAATGGGATTTTACCAAACAAGGTGTTACTCCTCATGGATATTAATTAAAAATCTATCTTTGGATGAGTATGGTTAATCAAACAATAATGCCCTTATATAAATAAATACATAGTATCATTAAGGACAGTTTTTCAAAGTGTCCTTAATGATTCAGCTTGTCAAAGTCCGCTCCAGGAATACAAATAATCCAACAGGAAGAAAAAGTAAGATACCAGTTGTAGTTTAGCCTGTCAGGTTATGTTAACAATGATAACTCTCACCAGTTTGTAACTGGCGTACAATCCGAGCCCTCTAAGCTCTGTATGTGCAATGAGTGGCCGCACTGTGAGTGATCTACAAAGAGTGTTGCCCAAATATAAAGATGTGAAAACCAATTTGTTTCCCTGATTAAAATAATTAGATTGGATGCTCTACAGGCAGTTTGAGAGTGGTTATAAAAGAGAGACGAGGTTAAAGCCATGAAGATGGGAGTTAATACTGATGACTATTAGAAAATAATGACAATACTATACAACCCCATCCCCTCATGTCATTTTTGATTTAATGTTAATAGATTTCTACAGAATATGCATTTCTTAAATCAGTTTCAGATTTTGCTATTAAAAAATGAAATTTACATGCTGTCCCTTACACACTAACTTTGTTACAACAGTTGAGGAGAAAAATATTTTTTCAAACTTTTTATTATTTTGTTTGATGTTTCATGTTTACAGAATGTAAAAAAGAACTTTAGGGTCTTAATTTGCAATTTTTTGTGTGTGTTTTACAGGAAGAAACAAATAATTTATTAAGGAATCCAAAATGTTTTAAATAAAACATTATTTTAAATGAATAGCCTCTCATATTCTTAACTTACAAAACCCAAATTCAGGTATATATAAGAATGCTTGAGAGAAAACTGCCATATTACTGTAAGTTTCTGCTCATGTTCAAGCCGGATAGTTGTATGCTTTTTTTACTAAACATAATTTTGTTTCTTTGATATAACTGCTTTAAAGGTGGTTCATGAACATACGGTATTTTTCTACCCTTGTTTTTCACTATTGTTGTCCGCACACAGCTTCCACAACCCAGACAGCTGTGGCTGCAGGTGTTAGAGTCTAAAGCAAAATCTGTAGTGTCATTTTTTTTCTTGTCTCAGAGGGCTTTGCTTCATACAGCCCTCTCCCTGCTATCACGACTGCTACCAGCTGTATGCTAAACCATCAATGACAAGAAAAAAGATCTTCTGTATTTATTTCTAAGTTTGTAGTAAAACTTTTAACCAATTTATTGTATTAAATGCTAAACAGGTCTTCCTCTTGCTTTTTTTCTCAGGTGACGGAAACAAGAACAGGTCCTCTTGGCTGCAGTAACTACGACAGTTTGGACTCTGTTAGTTCGGTGTTGGTGCACAGTCCGGAAAATAAGATTCACCTAAAGGGTAAGGCCCCACAAACACAAATTCACACACATATTGTGTGTGCAGATTGATGCTCCATGCACATGAATAGTCTCAACCCCAGAGAAAAGATCCATCAAAGGGATAAAATGTACACTATGGTCATATTAAAACACATATATTCATCACATTGTTCAGCTCATCCATCAACCTACCTGCCAGCTCTCTCATCTCGGGTGTAGCAGTTGGCTTGGATGACCCTTTACTTTACGCTGCAGTAGTTTATATGTCTGTTTCTGCCTGACTGGTTCTCAGTCTCATAGGAAATCTCTTATTTTACTTCGCAGGATATAGGCCAGACCCCCTTTGACCTTAGCCTAACCCGTCCATGCATATCTTGAGAACTCTGTAAATTAGTAGCTCAGGTGGTCACAATTCCAGATGACATTCTTGTCTATTTATCCTAATAAAAAAAATATCCCCAAACAATTTCAGTTGGTGATAGGTGGATAATTTAGTATTTACAAAGAAAAAAAAAAAACTTCATTGATTAACAAAGAACCCCAAAGGACACAGTGGGTAACTTTTTAAAGGTCATGTCAGCTTGGCTGGTCAATGTCTTAAGTCTAAAGTTGTACATTATAGATTGGTCTGTTTGTATCTTGAAGTGATTTCCAAATGTTTGGTAAACATAAATACTCTAGCTTTGTTCGCACAGTGGATCCACCTTAAAACTTTCCTTACATATTTAGACATTAAATTAAGTAAGGGTGTTACCAGATCTTTTTCCAGTACATTTGCATTTTTTAAAAACACCACAATATTTCATGTCTAATCATGTAGCTATCAACATGCAAGAGAGTGGAGAGTGAGAGTCGGATGCTTAAGTAATCTCTGTCGCAGGGATGTGACATCAAAGGAGTCGCTTATTCTTACATCATTAATATGAGATCCTGAACGATGGATGGATGGATGGATGGATGGATGGATGGATGGATGGATGGATGGATGGATGGATGGATGGATGGAAAATTGTTTAATATATAATTGTGTGAACCAAGAGTTATCTTCTTGTTGTTATTTTTGTTATTCTAAAGGTCAAGAGGTCAAAAAGATTAAAACCAGTCTAGCCTGAACTGTATGATGTCTCTAGTATTCGGGTGTTTACTGTGATCTTTATGCATTTAAAATGTTATGGCGTCAGTGTAACATGTAATATTGATAGGAACAAATTTGCCTTTGATAAGTATTCAGAGGGTTCTAAGGATGTGTGCCCTTAATTATTAATGCAGACAAATTTTCATTTTACATTCACTTTCTCAACTCCTAACATGTCTTTCTGGATCTCAGAGTACAAAGAGCCAAATCCTGCTTTTGTCATGAGGTCACAATTTTAAGAAAAAAAGGGAAAAACAACTTGTTTTGTAGGATATAATCGAGTTGTTGTTTTTTTACCATTAGAAAAAAAAAATTGTTCAAGCTGCTTTCTTGATAGAAACTATATCAGCCAATAATAGGAGATCCTCTTAAGGTTTTTATTTCCATAGATTGAAATTGCATAAATTTGCCTAAAGGAAGCAAAAAGTGTTTAGAGAATTAAGTTTTATCGTAATTTTAAAGGTATTAAGACAAATAGTTCTCAATAAACATGGTATGTTTATTTCTAGGAAAGCTGATAGATTAATCTGCATTTTTTTATGGAGTTCATATTTTCAGTTTCTAGTTTGATGATGGTGACATTTTTCTTAATAAATCTTCAAGTGTGTGTATCATTTGGATGTCAGACATTGGTAGGGAATGTTAGCCTTCCTCAATCATCAACTCGTTCATTAAATGTTGGCCCTGTTCACAATAAATCCCCTATGTGTTTACAGTGTTTTTCATAAGCTACTGTACCTACTTGAATGTAACAAAAAACTTCTTTATGGATTCTGTTTCCAACAATGGCTTGACCACTTAACACTTAAATAAATTTATTTTGTTATTTGGTGATGTACTGTAGAACTCTGTTTCTGTTATTGGGCAGCCAGAGTAAGTAGCCGACATAGGTATAAGTAATGATTAAAACGTTTTTTTTTTTTTTGCATAAGAATATTAACTTTACGTTTGATGTCAGGAGCAAAGGTAGAATGAGACTGTGGTTTAATAACTATCAGTGCAATACACAAGTCATTGTCCACTTGTAGATGTGCTCGATATTTTGTTTTGAGTACCTTTAAGGTGAAAACCTCTGCCAAGTTTTTTGTTGTAAAGGAAAATGGCATTTCAGTGTCTTGTGAGCCAAAGTTGATTGACCTTTTTGACACAGACAGAGCAACAGACTCAAAGTTGAGTCATCGGCCTTGCAGGATTAGGTCATCCTGGATGATCATGTTGTGACAGTAGACATTCTAATGCATTGTTGTTTACTCTACAGCAATCCCTCAGCATGCCTGCAGCAAAGGTGGAGAGGAAAAGAGGAAGAGTTACACCACTTACTGTTTCTTCCTTTTAACAGGAAGAAACCAGCAGCAGATACTAATAGTACTAATAGTACATTAGCTGCATAATGTACTGTCTTCTGATAAGAGGAGAGATGCGGCTACAAAATGAAACACATCCGCTCTGGGGCAAATGCAAAATAAAATCTGTTAATGGCATGGGGAAACAGTCAGTTTTGCAGTCGCATAGAGCATATATAGCAATCAGGACAGATTCGTCAAAACAATCAATAAAGCATAAAAAGGTAAATGTAGTTATCTTTTAATGTTTGTTTTAATTTCACAGCATTTAACTTTTTTTTCCTTTTCTAACACAATTTAAATTAGTTTTTTTTATTATTTATAAATGTTAGTCAAAGTCAATCTTTCAAAACTGAATTGTGAAGTCACTGTTTTTATTTTTTATGGCAGATCTTATTTTTTAAATTAAACCTTTCTGGTTTTTATTTATGGACCTGTGTTTGTAGGCAGCATATTTTAGAATGTATGCATCAAGACACCCACCAAGAGTCCAGTAAAAGTCCAGTAACAGTAAACAGAACTATGTGGGAAGAGGAGGCAACTCAATATATACTAGTAGGTAGAAAAATTGGCTGATACACCAATATACAATCTCAAAATAGAAAGTATTCTTGCTCTCAGCAAAGTGCTCAATGCTAGTGAGTCTTTGGAAAGGTGCACTCTGAGCCAAGTGTAACATGACTGAGAAGTTAGTTAAATGCAGTACATGTGATTAATTTCAAAAGAGATGATTTAAGGTGGCTATTGATAAAAGAAAAGCACCTGAGGAACTTTGAATCAAATCTTCATTTCACTAATGTCTGACATCACAGATCAAAAACTATAAACTATTTATCTGGGATCAGTGTGCAGTATTAAAGACAAACATTTCATTTTTTTTTAACTTGATCTATTGTCATTTATACTTGGCCTCTATGGTCCAGCGGGGGAGACTATAATACTCTCTGGCAGAGGGTGGTGCCAAAAAACGACACACATTAGATCATAACAGAGAAGAATGTTGTCACTTTTTTTTTTTTTTTTTTTTTGAGAAATACAATAAAAGATCTCTTGGTTGTTTATTTTATAAAATGTCTCTCAAACTATTCTTGCATTTACAGAAATGTAAAAGAAAGATAAATAAATTGATATTTTGATAATTGCATGTTCTTCCTCTTCTCATACTTGTCATGGTATTGCACTTTGTGGACTTCTTTGTGGACTTATCTCATTCTGTTCTGTTGGTCATTGGTTTCTTTTCCATTTTGTGTCAGTTTAAGCAGTGTTGCGTTTTTCAGTTACTCTCTGTTGCCCCTTTGGGCCAGTCTCCTTTCCCCTGGCTCCCTTCTAGTTACTTATTTTTTTAATTCTTAGTTCTGTCCCCCATATATATATATATATATATATATATATATATATATATATATATATA